TGTGAGAGAGAGAGAACTGTATATGGGGATAAAAAAAGCATGGCGTTAAAATCCGGGCTGGATATCAAGGAATTAGGTCAATGAGTTATTAATTTAACCGTTAGATCACTAATTAATCAATAATATAATAAAAAAATATTATTATTAATAAATGGACTAAAACATTATAAAAATTATCACAATATCATTAAAAATATATATATTAATTAGACAAAAACCCAAAAATTATCGATCAAATCCATTCAATAATCAAAATTAACAGATCCGTATATCAAAAACAAATAAAGAAAAAGATGACAGTGAACAAAAATGACTAACAGATCTAAGACAAGAACAACCACCGTCTCCAAAGTCCAAACAGCCACTGTTCAGTGCAATACAGAAAAAAAAAAAAAAAACCCAGTAAACATAAAGAGACAAATGTATATAGATTGATCGAATCTATGTGGCATAGGAACAGGTAACCATTTATAGTTATACTGCCTCTGTAATAAGTATTTGAAAAACCAATTAAGCAACATTTCTGTGCTATCAAAAGCTCAATGTAAATTTTTCGTATTCGATGGACATCCCAACAGAAAGCAAGTGTTTTCATTCAGACCAAATACAGCAAAATAACATTGTAAAGATTATATCTCTAGCAGAATCCTAATAGTTTTTCTTCATGACAAAAAGACTGATGGAGAGGGAGAGTCACACACAAACACAAAGAGAGAAAAACAGTGATGTACCTGCTAAATGAGTGAAGCAAATCGTTAAGATCCAAGGACGTGAAAAGAATCGTCAAGGAGGATCGACTGACATGATAGTGGATGCCTCCTCCTCCTGTTCATTGCAGATCTGCACTTCATTGATTTGTTCTACCCTTCGACTAAGAGAGAGAGAGAGAGAGAGAGAGTTGGGACTCAAGAGAGGTAGAGGCACAGTAGAAGAAAAGCAACGTGGAAAAAGAAAACTATTAGGGCAAAAATGCCCAAATATTTGGCTTCTATACTGCTTTAATGAACCTGCCCGATTTGTTAAAAACCGTTCGGGTTGAACAGTTTAGGCAAGAACCGTTCGGTTCAGCATTTTTTTGCTGGGTTTTATACCGAAACGATCTAAGTAACCAGCCCGGTTTAGTGGCCGGTTCACCTTGTTACCGGGTAAACCCGTGCAGTCGGACCGGATTTTAAAACACTAAAATAAAGAATTGTGAAATATTTTAGAATAAAATTATTTTATTGAAAAATTATAAAAGATACTCTTCTTAAGCTTTTTTAATTTTCATAATTAAGTAAGAGATATTATACTTAATATTTTATTTTATTTTTAAAGAACACTTAAAATATTAAAAAAAATTAATTTTAATTTTTAAATAATTTAATTTATAAATGTCAAATATATTTATTTTCGAAAAATGGACGGAGGCTGATAATCGGACGGATCCAGAGGCACAATCCGGGTTCTGGGGTAGAGAGGTAGAGGTTGGTCTTGGTGGTTTTGACTGGGAAGGGAGTTGTATGGGTGGTTTGAAAGGTGTGAATTTGCCCTACATTCTGATGGCAGGGAAAGACCGAGGCATCAAATGAGCTACCGTTCAAAATTTACAATCATTGAAGGTTGAAGTTATAATTTTTTTTGATACGTAAGTTATAACTTTTAAATGTCATAATAGATTGAAATTAATAATAAAATTATAATTTTAAATGTCAAGTTATAACTCATAAAGAGAAGTTATAATTTTTCAATAGAAATTCATGATTGATCATATATATCTGTGATCGTTCATAATTTCTTTGATCGAATATGAACTTTTCAGTTGTAACTTTTTTTTTGAATTATAATTTTATTATAAAAATAATAAATATTAACACGGTATCAAGACGATACCATAGACTTTCCCTTAAAGGCAACACATTAATTGCACCATCTTTTGTTGACCATGTCCCACGAGTCACGACAAAGCTTCGCTAGAGGTTAGTACAATTTTGAAAAATAAAAAAAAATATGTTTATACTGCAGTGTAACTTGGACGGGTTAAACCGGTTAGACAATCGATCCTAGTTTAATTCGATGTATATAATCTTTAACACTAATTCAATCTTTTGGCTTGGGAATTAAACTTGAGCACTGTCTGAGTTTAATTCGGGTTGATAATTTTGAATTGATTTTGAGTTATTTTATGAGTTCAATTCGGATAAAACTTAAAATAGACTTATTATTCTAAACATAATACATATATTACATAATATTCACCTAAGTTAACAACTAATAACTTCAACGAGGTTAAGAGAACGAGAGAAACAAAAAGAACGAGAGAGACAGAGAACGATAGAACAAAAATGAAAAATCAGTGTTAATATTTTATATAATATATATATATATAATTTTTTTTTTAATTTTTCGGGTTCAGATTGAACTCGAATTCACGAGCTCCTAACCCGAGCTCAACCCAAATTGAATTCGGGTTGAAATTTTTTGACCCAAGCCCAATTAAAGTATTAAAAATCTATTGCCCAATCCCTAATTTTTTCGGGTTAGGATTGGGTTAAAATCGAGTTACCCAACCCAAGTTGCATCCCTAGTTTCTACGATGATAAAAAAAAAATTATAAACAATGTCATTGTAATTTAAACTTAAAAAAAAAAACTTTCAATTGACAATTCTAATTCTGAACCGCAATGACAACACGAATTATATGATTGCTTGATGCTAAACTTGTATCACTCATTTCTATTGCTCGTAACGTTTCTCAAGCTTCGCAAACTAATAAGAACACCATTCAATAATTAGTTTCTTGTTCGATACATTTATTGATAACGAATTGTCGTTTTTTTTTATTGGAGTTATTCTTTTGTTGTTAGCGTAATAATTAAAAAACATACCATAATCTAATCAATTCGTATCAAACATTCATTTACTGCTATTTTAAATCATCTTACTTGTTTGTTTATGTTTATAGGATAAACTAGGGATAACTCGTGTCTTAGAAATGATACAATGTGAATAACTTTGAAAAAGAAGGTAGTGACCGTTGCAAAAAAAAAAAGAAAAAATTGAATGACTCGATAATATCAAGTGAAAAAATACCTTAATTTTATTATTTTCACTCAAATATATATTTTTGTCGTTAAGTTGCATCATCTTACTTATTGCTGCTAAAATAGGAATGCAATCCAAAGGTTTGGTACTCATTCTTATGTATGTAGTAAATAATAAATGCACATACCTAACTTGCTGAAATTCAATTCTCCAACATAAAATGGACATTGACCATTAGGATAGTTCGAGTGATTTCCTCCGTCCTAAACATCGAGATGGTAGATAAATACGAGATTCGAATTTTAAGGTAATTCAAGTGATAATAAAAATGAGCTATAAATTTAGATATTCTGAGTTTGAATTTGACAATCTCCTGTGACTAGCTTATACAGAATTTATCCCTCGTGAATATATTTAATTTTAAAGTGGATGATGTACCTTTGATCGGGAAGAATAAGGGCTTAGTCGAGATACGCGTAATTTAACTTATGCACCCTTGACCGTTTAAAAAAAAAAAGGAAAAAAAACTTAAGTGTCCCACGATTCAAAATTGCACCACCCAACATAAGGTAAGTTCACAATCTATGTCACTTAAATTGGTGATCTCAAATTGTAACTCAAATCACAAATTAAACTACAATACTAATAATTTCAATTTATAAGTAACCCTAATTAAGAATTGTATCTGATTATTTTTTAATTTTGACAATGTTTAAACCTATATTACAATTTGTGTTATTTGAATTCTTTTTTCATGTAAGTTAGCTTTTATTAGTTGTAAGAATTAGCCAGTACATCGTCTTTGATTATGGTTTGATGTAGAACTTGATCAGAGATGTGCATTTAGTTAATCAAGTATACCTACATACTTCTATGTTAAAGTGAAATTGATCAAGAAATTATGATTTAAAATAATGTACCCATTAAGGTATTCTAATTGCACCACGTATCAGATATGACTTACCAATACTCACTCACACCGTGTATTATATCAATCCCCGATACAAATTACATTGTTCTTGTCGATCCTCTTTTCTTTAGAAATATATATCAGATCTATTTAATCAATTTTCTTAATCTAAATTGAACTCTATTATTTACATACTAATATTTGATCTGATTCATATTATAAACCACATATTTGAAAATATGATGCAATTAAATAATTATATAAGTTATTCGAATCGGATCAAATTTTTAACATGTTCGGTTATGAATACTGAGATGAAATCCCTCAAAAATTTGAATAGATTCGAATTAAACCGTATTTGAATTTGGATCCGAGTAAACTCGGATTCTGAACGGTTGAGACGTGAAGGTATTACTTAAAAAGGAAAGATCTCCTGCATTCATAGCTTTGATTGTGGGACACACGACTATTCGTATGGACAGTCCAGTTCAACTCAAACCGTAAACCGCCCCGCAGAGAAAAGAAAACCCTAGGCGAATGAAAACTGGAAGGTGATTGTCACGTGTACCAAGTGGGTTCTCCTCTAAGTTAGAGAGAGAGAGAGAGAGAGAGAGAGAGGAAAAGAGTCGAGCGTTTAGAGTCTGTAGACCGAGCGTTTAGAGTCTGTAGACCGCGTTTAGAGTCTGTAGACCCACTCCCCAACAAAAAGGAGAGAAAAAACGAAGGAGCACTGGAACCTACTCCTTCCTTCCTCTCCCCCAAACAACCTACTCTTTCCTTCCTCTCCCCAAACAGAACCGTAGATCCGGATATATACATACACCATAACCATATATATATATATACACACCCCTCTGAACCCACTCCATTTTCATTCACCAACCCAACCCATTTGCCCTTTATATATAGCCTGTCTCCCTAGGCGCTACCCCCTTCTCTTTCTCTCTTTCCTCCAACCCTCCTCCCTCTTGTATTTTCTCCAGCTCTGCACACAGTTATCTCATCTGGTAGCTCTGTCTATCTGTTTCTCTATCTGGGTCAGAGATAACCACCAAGACGAGGGCAAATGATGAAGGACGAGTGGGTCACGGAGGCGTTAGTGGATGACATGGTAGTGGTGGAGCTGCTGTGTCGGCTCAAACAGTCATCGCCGGAACCACCGCCGGTTCTTCCGCCGCTAGGGTGGGGTAACCGTCAGCCGCGGTCGAAGCTGGTCACGATGAGGAAGGAGTCGTCGACGACGTTTAGTCCTACGACGCCGCTGTCTTGGAGCGGCGGCGTTGGCGGCTCCGCTACGCCTAGCGACGGTGAGTCCAGCCTGCCATCCGATCTATCCTCCGGTGCCAGATCCAAGGTTTGTGTCAGCTTCCCCCCTCTCTCTCTCTCCATCTATCTCTCTCTGTACTTCTTCTTCATCTCCGGCGGTGGTGTCAGATTTCTGGCCACCTGACTTTCTTATACTTCTTCTTCATTTCCCAACGGACCAGTTTAATGACGTTGGATGGCTTCTGTGTTTTCTCTTTGTTCCTAGGCAAGGACACAGATCGTTTTTTTTTTTTTTTGCAACTTGCGTTTTGTTTTCAATCTTATCTTACATGATGAGAGCGTCGGCGTCATCTTTATGGTCATCCGATCTCTCTAGTGTCTGTCTTTTTCTTGGTGTGACCGATATACCCCCTCATGGATGGGTTTAAAGATGTGTTCTGCGTTTTGGTCCCGTTGTTTGTCAATCCATCGAAAACATTCCTATCATTTTGTTTCCTCTTCAAAGCAAAGAATTTGATTTTTGACAATTTTACCCTCCGTTTTAATCTTATTTTCTTCGTAATCGTCTTTCCAGTTCTCGGCGATGGCGTCAGCTGTCTGGCGATGTGATCTATACAGTGACATTCTTCTTTTTTATGGTTTGACCGGATTACCCCATGGTGTTTTAATATAATTGCGCTTTCTGAGTTTTTGAGGTCTCCATCTATGGACGACGAGACGTTGATGTCTTTGAAAATGCCAATTTTCTGTTATTTTATGACCATTTTGACCTTCTTCATCAATCTAATTTACTTCTCGTTGGGCTTGGTGGGAGTTGTCAGTTGCGGGCCACCGTTTCTTCATCGTTTTCAGTTATAGCATACACCCTCGAGCCCACTAGGGGGCATTCCGGTCAATTCCCAATATTCGGACTACAGTCGTCTCTCCGATCGGCGGTCATCGGATCATCGATGATGGTGTCTTTCTATTTTCTTTCTGTGTGCGTATCATATTCAACTTTTTATTACAAAATTGCCCTTGGGTAGGAATTGGAGTCACGTAGATAAAAATCGAGAGATGCTCTCTCTCGTTTTGTCTCCAGTCACCTGTCAATCTTGTTGGTTGGGCTGTTTTCCTTTCTCAAATGTTCTTTCGATTTAAAAAAGAAAAGGTGATTTGTTTCCATTTGACCAAATCACCCTCACTGGTGATGACTTTCAGTCGGGGGTTAAAAAAATAAATAAAGAGGATACCCTTTTTTGATTGGAAAATTCTCCCTAATTTGGTTGGTTTATTTGTCATTTCACTAAGGGGTGGTGAAATGGACGGATGGACCCCAGAGGAGGAGGAAGGGGGAGGGGGCTGAGAGAGTTATATTGTTTCTTTGTTGTTGGGTTTTTTTTTTGGGTGGGGGTTGGGGTTTGTAATGGTGGGGGAGCGTATTCAGGTGGGAGCACTTTTGCAAGCCTGCTGACTATTGTTTTATTTGAGTTTTTTAGTTAGTGTGTGTGTGTGAGAGAGAGAGAGAGAGAGAGAGAGAGAGAAGGGGGGGGTTTCGGATTTCTGATCTTAAGGTCACATCACTGCTAGAAAGAGTCTTGATGTGATGCGCAAATCAAGATTCATGCAATCCAATTTTATACATGGGCTTCGGGTCCTTTAGGTTGTGGGAAATTGGTTTCAGGATGAGAAGGCATCTTACCCAGAAAAACATTTCAATGATGGGTAGACATAGTGGTAGATCTTGGTTTGATTTATTTATAGTCATGGATTGTGAAAATAATAAAGTAAAAAGTTTATACATGTCATGTTTTTATTGAACAAGAAGAGATGTGATGGCGAAAAGCAATATTTCAAGACTATAGCGGACGCTTGGTTTGAACGGGGACTCGTTATGGGTTATCGGATGGATTATGGGGCGAGGCATTTGAGTTATGATCTGTCGTGGGCTCTAAGGTCATCCATTTTGTGTTGGAACAAGTAGGGGCTCATATCCTCTTTCTCTATGAGGAAGCTGAGAGTAATTAGATGAGTAATGCTGCTACTAAAGAACAAAAGATGTGTAATGTGGTGGTGCGGTTATCATGTAGTTTTTTTTTGGTAAGTTATGATAGCATTTGTTCATTAGCATTAGGCCCATTCAACAGTTAACACGTTATTCCTATATGCTTTTTGTGTATTGATTTGGAAATGTGTGTATAAACTTATTTTGAAACATATGATGGATGTTTTCAGGGCCCTTTTACAAGCGAAATCAACTCCATGTGCACTACCACCAACGCTTCAAGAAGAAAGAAGGTAAGTTTAAGCCTGCACCTTTGATATGCAGCATTTGTACTTTGTTGGTTCGTGTTTATATGATTTGCTCAAGTTGTCCATATGCTGCATGTTCTTTTAGGGCTGAACTGTGTTAATCAGTCTTCTCAACGAAGATAGAATTTTCCTCTGTAATCATGTAATTCTCATGGAAGTTTTATTAATTTCGGCAGACTTTCATTGAACTTAAGGAGGAAGCGAATGTACTGTTGAAGGAAAGACGACATTTGAAGAGGGTATATTTTTTTCTAAGTTTCAATTACTAACATCTTCTTGTTGTCAACTTTTTTCCGTGATCCTAATTTGTCCACTGTATTGACACCTGTCAAACAGGAGTTAGCATCTATGCAGGTAACTCTGAAAGAACAGAGGGACACAAGGGAGAACTTAAAGAGAATCAAGGTGCACTTTCTCGTTTCTCCTGCTAGATTTTGTATGATAGTAAGAGAACTCAGATGGATGATGACGAAATCATCTGATCATTTTAGCATGCAACCATGTGTATGGACTATGGATTGTGGTTCACCTTTAAAGGGTTAATTCCATTCCACATGTAATGTGCGTATGGTGATTAAAACTAAGAAACTTCAGTTTAAGATTTTCCCCAGGACCCTTGTACTAATGTTAAATCCAACTGGCTTGTTTGGCTTTGTCTTAAGACTTAAAAAAAAGTTTTGTCATCTGCGATGGGTCGTCTGGCTCTTGCTCAAAGATTGCTGGAAACACTGAAGTATTGTGCACTTGATGCTTTCCATCCCCTGCTCCATGGAATTTGTACCTGTCCATCACTCGATCTGATTCTGCTTACCTACCAGAATAAATTCAGTCTACCTTCTGAGATCTGCACTCGATTTAGCCTTGCCTTCGTGCTTCACAATCCAGTAGAATTGTCTTCATAGATGTAGTGATGATTTCACAATACAATTTGAGTTTATTTGAGGGAATTAATTAGTAATGAAAATTTGGACGTGCAAGAACATATTAACTCCAAGCTCTAGTTGTTGACATTGCATCTCTTTTGCAAAGGAGGAACAAATGACATTGTAATTGATGTAGCAGAATTACTGTAATTTTCGCTATGGACCCAGTTGCAAGAACTTGAAACCCTTTCACATTGGATTTTTATGAAAGTTACTTTTAAAATAGTTTTTGAACAATTTTCTTCTCGCCATTTCATCATTTATTTGTTTTCTTAATTCTGATGAAATCTAAGATACGGTGACATTAATGTATTCCTTTCTGCAGCTTGATTTGAGTATGCAATCAGAAAATAAAGTAGATGCACCATCAGATGAACCAGATGCAGCATTTTCCGATCAGTGTAAAAAGATGGAAACATATTCTTTTGATTGTGCACATTCAATTTTGCAAACACATGGTCCACCTGATGAGGTAGCATCATCTGATTCCAATAAGTTTCAAAAAGATGTTGAGGCCCAGAAACAATGCTTCATGCTACCTGATCTAAATATGCCGGCATCTGAGGAAGAAAGGGGTTTTGAGACTACATATGGGATGAGCTGAGGAGAAACTATGCTTTTTTCTCTTCGTTTCTCTAAAGTAAGTGGCGATCATAGTCTCAAGGGGCTGCCTGCTTGGGTCAATAAAGATGATCTGCTCATCCTGAACTCGCATATGGCAAATGGGTCGGTTTTGTAAAGTAGGGAAAATCATCGTCACCCAGAAGCACAGCCACAGATATAACGACTCAGCATATGCTCTTTTTTGTGGATTATTGAGAAGCAAAAGAAGCTGGCAAATAGTGAAGAGGATTTTCAGGGCAGTGCAGAGATTTTAGTGGTCAGACGTGTACATATTTGTATTTTCCCTTAGGGTAACCTTGGTTACTTGATTTGAATCATAAATATTATTTCATTCCTTTCTAAGTGTATTGTTGCTAGATGCTATATAAACTTATTGAAGTTAATGTCACAATTTTGCCTACTCTTGGCTCCATCAGATCATTTGAAATGAGCAGAATCAGAATCATGCATTTGCAGACATGATCATAATGGATTGAGAACTTGCACACATTGATTTTCTATCTGACCCCACAAAACCACTTGTGTCTACCTTTTCTGCTGTGTAATTGCCTAGATGATGGGTTGTTCTGTTGAGCTACTGTAGATTGTTCTGTCTACCCTTCACCAGAGTGTTTGTCCTTGAACTGTTTCTGTCTACTATAGCATCAATTGTTTGATGCCACGGCCCAGTTAGTAGTATTTGAGAAGTGAGGATTGTTTGCCTGTTCTGGCTTCTTTATGAGATAGATGGACATAGGTGTTTCTTATTAGCGGTGGTAATTAAGTCATGTTATGTCATATTCGAATTGTGTTCAATTTCTGACACGGGTAACTTGTGAATCCAAAAACTCTAAGATCTAGAGAGAGTATTCTTTTTTCTCAGCTAACTTGGATACACACAGGTTCAACAATAATTTAAACAAGCTATATCGGAAAAACAAATATACATTTTTTTTAGTGAAAATACTAATTAAATGAGTTTGTCCTCTTAGGTTCTAATATTAAACGAAGTTTACTATCGATCTAAATTAAATTCTCAAATTAAATTAAAATAGCATTTTTTATTCATTCAATAATTTTGCCGACAAATGTTCCACCTGATGATATAGCATCACCTGAATCCGGTTAAAGTTACGAAAAGACGTGGAGGCCCAGGAACACTACGAAAAGAGGTTTGATGCTTAATGATACAAGAGTAGTAAACATGCAGTCCAAATAAATTGGCAACGCAAATAAGCATTGGCTGTCCTAACCTATAGAACCCAGGACAACCAAGACATTAGTCAGCTTTACAGCTATTGATATAGCTCAGCAGTTACTGAAACAGTTTAGCAGACACGTCAAAAAAAGGATAGAAGAGGAATTACAATACCGAATTTTATATTGCGTAAAGAATATCATCTCATACCTTTTAAAATGTCACGAGACATTTAAAGAAGAGGGTCTCTAACCGTTAAATATTTTTTTAAATATTCTAACAAACTTGAGGATCACACCATCATTGTTTGATAACCACACTACTCTAATATATAAATAGATAAATTATTGCCTTATCTAAGCCAGAGCAATTGCATTCTCTAATTGTAACCGTCTTCTTCCTCAAATAATACAAACTAAAGGAGTAAGAACCTTGATTACAATAAACTAACCTAACTCTTCAACTTGATAAATCATTTATGTCCTTGTGTTCTTGCTTATTGTTATCTTCCTCACACACTCACGGCTCACACATCACACAGAGCTCATCCAGCTCTCCCAGTTCATGCTTCCCAGATTTATACATCGTCAGTTTGATCTTTCTTTGGCAAGAGGCCGTGGGATTAGGATTAGAATTTTATATTGATCCTTATCCATCCCTCTCAGTTTTTAATGTCTAATTTATGATGGATATGTATCTCAATCATCTTGTCTGTAAATGGAGGTTTTCTACGATGTGGGCCTTATAATTCCCTCGATTCTTGTCAGAAACCATTTACTTTTGTTAGTTTTAATTTTACCAGCATGCCCTTGATTTCCCATTCAATCCAAAACCAATGTTGGGGCTAAATTGGTAAGATTCGTAACAAGTCCGATTAATGAACCATCATGGAGTCATGGGTTTCATCAAGTCCATGACCCCTTATAAGCGAGTTTGATTTAAGAGAAATTTGAAGACCGGTTTCTTTATATGGGTTTATTTGTACTTAAGTCCATTAAAAAAATTTAATTGTTATCAAGTTCATTTTTTGTCAATTTTATCAGACTATTCTTTATTTTTAGAAATCAAATAAAATTAAAAATTAAAACTTCTAAATTTTATGAGCTTGACTAACATTAAAAAAATTTCTCGCTCATATGTATCTATATCCATATATAGGTTAGGACTATATATAAATTTCAATTTTAATTTACGAGTGAATTAAAGGATAATAATTTTTAATTTAATAAGCTACTTTCAAGGTTTTTAAGATTTCTATAATTAAACATAATAACGTTGGTATTTTTGAAATTTAAAACAATAGTGGACTTAAGTACTTATTAGTAAGATAAAAAATGGACTTATAACTAAATAAATTTCATTAACGGACTCAAGTCATTATAAATTCATTCAAGAGGATTCAACTCTAATTTTTACTTGATTTAATTAAACTGGGCCTTGGAGATGAAAGTCATTATCTTAGGGGACTCAAAATTAGGCCTATTAGACTAGACTATTTTGCATAACCCAACCCTCTAAATCTCACCCAATACCACAAACTAATGCGGACTTAAACAACATTCATGCTGCGAGTGAAGCCCAACCAGAACATTCATGCTTCGGATGAAGCCCAACCCACTGTACTTTTGGGCTTCGTTGGGCTTCACAATATAGCTTGAACTGAATTTGATCTTCAGACCTATCTGACAAGACCAGTTTAACCAGGGTTTTTGAGTTTGGTTGAGTTAAAGCATTCCCGAAAGCAAGATGTTATAACGTAATTAATAGTTCAAGTGGTAACAGTGATAAACTATAAATCAAGATGTCTGGAATTTAAATTTGATAATTCCTTGGGTCAGGCCATCATGAATTATCCAATTTCGGCGTGGATGACCTACTTTTAATCAAACTAGAAAGGAAATTAGTCGAGATTTGCGCAACTTGACATGGACACATCTGACCGTTGAAAAAACAAAGAAAAGCAAGATGTTATGAAATCAGCCCATGGTTCCTATAGTACTGTACTACAGGATATGTTCCTAATTTTTTTTTGTTAATAACGAGAAATCTTTCCATTAATCACAAATATCAATTAAACCCAAGAGTTATCAACGGTGATCAAACCCAAGAAGTCCGAGTTTATTATTGCCCAAGTCCAAAATGCAAAGAGTGTACGATTCAATGCTAGGTACTAAACAAAATGCAAGCAGATTATGTGAGTTGGAATGAACTTATTTTTGAATTTAATAGTATAATTACTACTCTAAAACAACTGAGTCTTTTCTCGTTAGGGTACTGTGCGGGCTAGATCCTGCCGATGTATAAAATACTGGGAACAGATCTCTCCCCTGGTGAACTTTGGTGAGCCGGTTGAGTGGCCAAACACGCCGCTTGAAACAGCCTGCAAGGTACGGTGGCAACCTGGAACGGCAAAGGAAGATCCTGGGAAAGGACGAACGACCCTGTACGTGTGAAAGGTATTTCCTGGAACAAAGGAGAACAAGTTAGAAGGGAGCCGGAGTGTTTTCCGGCGTATCCCCTCCGACGGTCTAGTCAGTCTTTGAATGAGAGAGAGGAAGGAGAAAACACTGAGAAGGATATCTTGTAGTCGAGAGTTTGTGATTGCATACCCGCTTTGCCTTTTGGGAGGAGTATTTATACCTTAGAAGCTCATGATTGCTGTCAGTGTGGTCAGTAGGTGATCATCAGGCACAGGTAGCGTGTGTATTGATTTGATGAAGAATGTCTTCTCTAATTGACTGCTCGGGGTCCCGAGCAATCAATGTTGAGTCGTCGGGATGCCGACGGTACAATATGCTCCTTTCGAGAAGGATGTAATAAATGCTCTGTAATAGGAGCATTTATTGCCTTTCATATCCGAACCTTACCGCATTGAATGCGGTCTCGTCAACAGAAGGGTGCAATTAATTGTTTGCTTCCCAAAGCGCACGTCAGCAACAGCATGCGATTTGCCTGTTTTTGATGTGATATCGTATGCCACGCGTCGTCACGTATTGGCTATGACTTCTGTATTCCAGCATGTTCTGACATTACTTGTGTAAGACGAGGTCATGATGAATAGTCTAGACTGGCATAGGCTGATGTCCCGTACGTCAGTAGCTTTATCTGGGAGTAGAGGAAGCGTCCAGGATGGAGTGACCCTCGGCACCGAGGAAAGGCTCACCTCGGGGGACCGAGGGGTGGTGTGTTTCCGAGGTACACGGTGACCGAGGACACGTGTCGTTGTATAATGCACCGAATATGTGATCCTATATGAGAGGTACCTCGGGGGAGAGGATACTTTTGCCGATGGTGCTTGACCCCGAGCAACATTGTTCTAGAACCCCGAGGACACGTGTCTTCATCATAGGGCTTTTCAGAAGAGTCCCATCAACTGCCCCCCAGCCTTCGATCTTCTGACGCCGAGGACACGCGTTGTCAGGAGACGAAGGGTTTTCCAACTGCCATCCGTCCTTCATTATGGCCTCGAGCAGCTTTCCCCGGCTTGGGACGTCGTGCGCATTAAATGCGCTGTTTTGGTTCTCCCGCCCAATGATGACAATTTCCCCCTATATAAAGGGGGTTCTTCTCTGGTTCCCATCGTTTTGCCATTCCGATCTCTGACCCAGAATACGCCTTTCCTGATCTGCTCGCCGGAGTTTTTGTTTCCTCAGCCATCGTCGACAGCGTTTTCTCTCAAAATCACAGCCAGTAAAACCCATTGTTGACTCCTGGTCTTTCCGGTGCGAGTCATTTTAAAGTTTTTCCTGAAAAACTCCGTTTTCGACGTTTTCGGGTGAGTTTCACAACCTTCTTCTTTATCG